TTCTTCTTCTACTACGTTTACTTTAACTTTTACTTTTACTGTTACTTTTACTTTTACTACAACTACTACTACTACTACGATTACTACTACTACTACTACTACTACTACTGCTCCTACTACGACTACTACGACTACTACGACTACTACTACTACTACTACTACTACTACTACTACTGCTACTGCTACTGCTACTGCTGCTGCTACTGCTACTGCTACTACTACTACTACTACTACTACTACTACTACTACTACTCCTAACCCCGTACACGTCTCGTGTCCCCGTATGAAGCTCCACCGACAGTCCCTCTGGCACAGTCTGCATGTGGCCGCCCTTCCCATTCAGGCACACCCGCACGAGTTTCGCTGCCCCAAAAGGGCGCTCACCGAAGGTCTCGCTGGCACGGTCCGCATGAGGCAGTCGGCATGCGGCACAACCATCACACGTTTTCGGGCCCCATAGGGGGGCTCCACCGAAGTTCCAACGGCACGGTCCGCATCTGGCCGCCCCAATTCCGGCGCAGCACGCGTTCCGTGTCTCCGACAGGGCGCTCTACCGAAGGGTCTCACTGGAACAGTCCGCATGTGGCCGCCCACTCATGTCGGCACACCCCTCACACGCCTGGTGGCCCCATATGGACCTCCGCGGGAGATCTCACTGGCACGGTCCGCCTGTGGCCACCTGACCCAATTCGGCACGCCCCTTTAACGTTCAGCGGCCTTATAGGGAGCTCCACTGACGGTCCCACTGGCAGTCCGCATGCAGTTCCCCGCCGATTTCAGCAAACCCCTCACACGCATCGTGGCAACATAGGGGGCTCCAACGAAAGCCTCAGCGACACTCCGCAAGCGTTGTCCCTACTTCGGCAGATCCTCCAAACGCACCGTGGCCTCATAGGAAGCTTCACAGAACACGATACTCACAACTGCAGAATTCACAACTGCATGTGGATGGGTCCTTCGCTAAGGTGATCCTGAAACAATGTCCGTTTTTTCGCATCGACACGCAATCTGTGTTGCCCATCTGTGCCGCAACACTTGGTGCCAAATTCGCTTCCGGTTGGTACCCATCCGGTTCAAACATAATGACTGATGAAACGAACCAGAGGCATTGTCTGCACCTGGGATAGCCCATGGCGAAACTCAAGAAAGAGGCCACCTGATACAACACGGCACACCTGTACGACATTAGTTTTCTGTGACATCACGTTGTAGTAGTACTTAGATGCCCCGCGATCTGCAAAACCGTCTTTGGTAGTTTGTAAGAGAAGCACTGGTGGATGCTCGCCCCATGGTCGCGTTCCATTATCAAACACTTCTTCAGTTTGGTTGTGGGGGCAACAACCTTCCGATGCTTCTTCGCATGGTTTGAAATTATCTGGCAGGGAATCGAGACCATCTGCCGCGTAGCAGAAGTAGCTCCCTCCCCCGATCATGACAGCAGCGCGAATTACTGGGAATCGGGACTGGGACGGGAGCGTCCTCATGACAGGAAACTCATTAATGTTTCTGCTGACCATTTGTGCAGCCACGGAGTAACCCATCAGCCCCACCCGGCTGTAATCGAACTTTACTCCTGGCACGAGAGTCCCGTCCTTAACCTTTTCCATAAGAACGGCCAGGTAGCCTGCATCGGGGTTGCTTCCACCATTCCAGCAACCATTATCGTAGTCGCTGGCGTCGCATGTTTGGTAGAAATCTGAGTTGTAGAACATATTGTCCGCGCTGTACATGGAAGGCATGATCAGAGAATATCCACTGCTCACGAGGCCATGTAGGGCCTCCTGCATCTGATAGCGGCCCTGCAAATCGAAAGGCTCTGAAGCAAAATGTGACATGTCCAAGTCTAGCAAGCCACCACGAGGATCCTCGGTGAGAATACCTTGCCAAGGTTGTGCATCGCCATCGGGGTACATGAACTCGTACTGCAAGACAGAAGGCCAACCTCCAGGAGGGGGTTCCCAAGTCGGCACAACAATGGCAGTCGCGCGCATGTTGAGCTGCTGCGGGTACTCATCGGGCGGATTGCTCCCTGGCCCCTGAACAATAATCCAATATTGGGTGTAGTTTGGGCAGCGCCGTGTCCTGAATCCTTTCCCCAAGGCTGTCGTCATATCCAGGGTGATATCCCGCAAACCCTCTGAGCGCAGGTGGGATGACGGATCACACCTGCCCTCTTCCGAGCCTCCTCCCTCTTCGTACTCGGGGAGGGGTGCCCACCCTCCCCAGGTGTCTCGGGGGGGGGGGGACCGGAGGAGCTCGAGTGCCGGCGATGGCCCCCGGTGCTCCAAGATGGTCCCCAGGGTGGCACAAGAGAGCCGAAGCTGTCTCCGAGAGCCTCTGGAGCCCCCCCCCCCCCCAAAGGACGTCCCCACGAGGCAAGCATCCCCCAGACGCCCTCCAGCAAAGCAATGGCTCCTTCTCGCCCTTCCGACCGATTCCGATGTGCCCCTGAGGCCTCAATGTCACCAGGAAAACCAGAAAGAGGCCCCCCCACCCCCAAAGCGCCCAAGAGGACCCCGAGAGGCAACGCTTCGGCCGCCGGGGGAGGGGGACTCGAATGGAGGGCCCCCCCCCCCCCCTTGGCACCCACGGCCCAAGAGCTCAGGGTCGCCTCAAGAGGGCCCCAAGACCCGCCAGACAAAGCCCCGAGATGGCAGCCCCAAGATCCTTGAAAAGGGCCCCAAGAGGGGACCAATCTGCTCCCAAGACAGCTCCGAGATGTCCCCAATCTGCCCCCGAGAGGCTTCCATAGCAAGAGGTCCGCCAGAGCTCCTTCTCCTCTTCCTCCTCCTCCTTTTCCTCCTCCTTGTCCTCCTCCTTCTCCCTCTCCTTTTCCCCCTCCTCCTCCTCCTCCTCCTTCTCCTCCTCCTCGACGTCCTCCTCCTCCTCCTTCTTTTTTCTCCTCCTTTTACCTCATCTTCCTCGTTCCTCTTCCTCCTCCTCATCATCATCACCATCATCAGCAGCATCAGCATCACCATCATCATCATCATCATACTTCTCCTCCTCCTCCTCATCATCATCGATATCACCATCATCATCATCATCATCATCATCATCATCAACAACAGCATCATCATCATCATCAGCATCATCATCATCATCATCATCATCATCATCATTATCATAGTCATCATCATCTACATAATCATCACCAGCACCATCAACATCATCAGCATCATCATCAATATCATCATCATCCGGACATACATACCTGCATACATACATGCATGCATGCATGCATGCATGCATATATACATACATACATACATACATACATACATACATACAAACATACGTACGTACATACACACATACATACAGACATACAGGCAGACCGACAGACAGACAGACATGCATACATACATACATACCGACCTACCTACCTACATATATAAACATATATATATTCATACTTGCAAAGATACATATATACATCGATACATAGAGACATATATACATATACACATACATACACACATACACACACATGTACATATATACAGATATATACATACATACATACATACATACCTAATTACATACATACATACATACATACATACATACATACCTGTATACATACATACATACATACATACATACATACATACATACATGCATGCATGCATACATACATACATACAAACATACAAACAGACAGACAGACAGACAGACAGACAGACAGACAGACAGACATCTCCCCTCTACTTTCCCTTTCCTTTTTTTCGACGTCCTTCGCCTCCTCTTTTCCCATCTCCCCCCCTTTTCCCAAGATGGCTCCATGATACGGTTCCTACGAGGTTCGCAAGACAACAACTCGCCTGGGCATCGCCTCTGGATGGACTGGGGGGAGCAGGAGAAGGAAGAGGAGGAGGAGGAGAAGGAGGAGGAGGAGGAGGAAGAGGAGGAGAAGGAGGAGGGGAGGAGGGGGAAGATGATGATGATGAGGAGGAGGAGGAGGAGGAGGAGGAGGAGGAGGAGGAGGAGGAGAGGAAGAGGAGGAGGAGGAGCCGAGGGGGAGGGGGAGGGGAAGGGGGAAGGGGAGGGGGAGGAGGAGGAGGAGGAGGAGGAGGAGGAGGAGGAGGAGGAGGAGGAGGAAGAGGAGGAGGAGGAGGAGCGGGGTACGCGAAGCGTCGAACATTTTCATTGTCCGTGTCCGCCTCACCAGCAACCCACCTGCAACCCCTTGGCATCTCGCCAATCGTTTTGGCACCGGGGCGGAGGAAAGCAGTGCAATTGGCCTCCATGGAACAAGTGCAGTTTTTGACGGTCGACAACTCCGACGTGCCATGAATGTCGGGATAATACGGATGCTCCAGATAAGCAGCACAAGCCATGACAATACAGACAAAAAGACATGCGCACATGCACCGCGCGTGTAAACGCTCAAAGGAGCACATACGGTTCCTCTGCATCGTCGGCGTGCGCCCTGCACGGCCTATCTCGATGTAGATGTAGTGGTCGCTCTCTTGCCACCACCTCGGCATTGCAGAGCGGAGCGCGGCAGGCCACGAACCGACGCGGCGCCGTGCGAGGCGCAGTGAGCTGCCCCAAGACGACCCGAGGCCAGAGGCCTGCAGCTTGAGCCATGCAGCCTGCGCCTTGAGCCCCGCGACTTGAGCCAGTGGCTACACGCCCGGCGCCCCCGCTCAACGCACGGTGCGCCCACGAGGCACCCACGGCCAGACACCGCCTGAAAACTGCGGCACGCCCAACCCCGAGTGCAAGCGCTGCTCGAGGAGGCTGCGTAGCGGCGGGAGCGAGGTTCAGACATGCATCGCGAGGAGGTCCTTGGCGAAAGCGCGACTTTGATGCCCGAGTGTCGCGAGCGCGGCACAACTGTGAGGCAGGCCAAGACAAGAGCGTGATTCCTGTGTAAATTGCGATGGGGTCTTCAGCAGCAACGCGATCTTTCTTGTAAGCTGGACGGACATATCGGTCGGGAGCCACTGTTTTTGTCGCTAGGGGAGCCTAGGACCACAGTCTGAACCTGAAGGCGCTCAATGATAAATTAGCGTGGCGAATATGACCCTACCATATGCCGCTACGGGGGCCGCAAGACAGGTGATACGAAGGAAAGGCGCGATCAAACTACGGGTGTGTACCATAAAAGGATGCAACTCGAACCACGCGGGCGCTGCCACTGGGGCCTTCGGTGGAGCTCCCTCCCCATGGGGACACGAAACGTGTGAGGGGTGTGCTGAGATAGACCCGAATCCGCACGCGGGCGCTGACACCGGGGCCGTCGGTGGAGAGGAGTGTGCCGGGATGGACGCGAATCCGCATGCGGGCGCTGCCTCTGGGGCCTTCGGTGGAGCTCCCTATGGGGCCACGAAGCGTGTGAGGGGCGTGCCGAGATGGACCCGAGTCCACATGCGGGCGCTGCCACTGGGGTCGTCAGTGGAGCGGGGCCACGAAACGTGTGAGGGGCGTGCCGAGATAAACCCAAAGCTGCCTGCGACCGCTGCCGCTGGGGCCCTCGGTGGAGCTCCCTGTGGGGCTACGAGACGTGTGAGGGGTGTGCCGAAGCAGAGACATGCGGAGGGCAGAGGCACGCATCAGAGGAGGAAGGAGGAGCGAATGAGACGCGGGGCGCTGCTGATCCAAAAAGGAGACGCAACACCACATGATGCTTGGGAACAACGTGCCAGCGTCGAAAGGCGCGAAATGCGCACTTCAATTAGAACAAACATTGGTGCTGGGCAAGGGGCACTATACTTATCATGATTCCGAATTCAGAACTCAAAAACAAGACTCCGCACCGCGGAGACACTTCCGCCACGCACCCAGGAAGGGCGTAAGACTGTTCGGCCACCAACTCTTATCTCTCGTATCCCTCTCTCTTTTGTTTTGCCTCTCTCTCTCTCTCTGTCTTTCTGTCTGTACCCGCCGGCCTCCTACAAGTGAGAGCGGGGGCGGCGCCGCCCAGCGTCGGAGCAGTGTTAGGTCGGGCATGTCCTCCTACAGGCGGATTTTGGAGGAAACATGAAGCATAGCACAAAAAAAGCGCAAACATATTCAAACATCGTCAAAACATCGTCCCCATACGATTTGTTGCTATTTTTGAAGATTCCTCCTGTAGAGGGACATGCCCGATTTAAAAGTAGTGGGGCTCGCCGTCGGCACAGGCATCCCCAAACCCCTCGTGCAGGCCGAGGAGAGAGACGGCAACATCACGCAGTTTGCCCCCCCTGCTGCTCCTCGTCCTCCTCGTCCCCCTGCCACTTCTCGGAGTCATTAATCTTCCTCCATGTAGCTTTTTAGATGCCATGACAATGGACACTCTAACAATCCGACCCTTGAGCTAAAGATGTGTTTAACATGTTTGCACATGTTATAACATTGGTTTAAACCTGGTTCTTACATGCTTAAGACATGTTTGGAGTATGTGTTAAACGTCTGGGAATGATTTGGCAGCATGGTTTCTCTCCATTGATCGACTTCCACAAATGTAGCTTCAACCCTTGCCCCCCCTCTCAACACCCGCCCAGGCCAGGCCGAAGCAGAGGCGCAGCTCGATTTTATCGCCCTTGCAGCTCAGAGCAAACAGGCGACAGGTACCCGAGTAGATTCGCCGACCCATTGGGCACTGGCGTGGGAGATGCATCACTCTCTCCGCCTCCCCTCCCCCGAGTTGTCGATTTTACTGGTTTGGATGGGGGTGCGAAAACGGCTCTGGGTGTCCAGAATGCCCCTCGACGGCTTCTAGGACGTCACAATCTAGACAGCTCCAGAGGCTTCCAAGCACGATTACGCAAACGGCCCGAGCCCTGAGACCCCTCAAGACGGCCCAAGGGGCCCCAAGTGGATCCCGACGGCGCCCCGAAAGGGCATCAAGATAGCCAGCAACATACAAGAAGCCAACAGCGACGGACCCCCAGGAGTAATTGCAAACACTCATTCTTATATTCGCCCTCAACCTCGTCATCAACCCACTCCTCGTCTCCTCATCTGCTACTGCCCGCTCGCGCCCGTCAATGTCTGCCAGGACAAGCCGCGAACTTAAGAACGTCAGACTGCCGGCGGATGTGGCGTCCACAGCCAGATGGCTCCATGTCCAGAGGTGGCATGCTGAGCCACAAGGCGGTTGTCGCGAGAACTCTATTGCAACGTATCCCATGTGCCTACTTACCCAGACTTCTACTGATGGTGTCATATGACTTCCTGCTGTCATGTGCCACCCCCCTAACCCTCCCGGCGCCATGCCACATCTGCAATACCAACGTGATAAGGCTTCTCTGGACCCCAGAGGCGAATAAAAAACCGACCGTAAATCAACGACTTCAGCTTCTTGGGCACTGCGAGTGCCGCAGGGGCACTGCGAGCCGGCCCAAGAGAGAGATACCCAAGACGGACCAAGACGTGAGAGGCCCCCAAGCCGCCCCGAAAGGGCCCCGGCAGGGCCCCCGGGAGGGCCGCCAGAGGACAACGATCTTGGCGAAGGGCCCCGAGACGGCCCCCCCCCAGACGTCCCCACGAAGGCCCCGAGGAGGGGCCCACGAGAGGGGCATCGGGGCCCGGCCTCGGGCGCCCCCTCCCCCCGAAAGAGCACCAAGAGGCCCCCAGAGGCCGAAGGACGAGGAGGAGGAGGAAGAGGAGGAGGAGAAGGAGGACGAGGAGGATGAGGAGGGGAGGAGGAGGAGGAGGAGGAGAGGAGGAAGAGGAAGAAGGAGGAGGAGGAGAGGAGGAGGAGGAGGAGGAGGAGGAGAAGGAGGAGAAGGAGGAGGAGCAGGAGGAGAAGGAGGAGGAGCAGGAGGAGGAGGAGGAGGAGCAGGAGGAGGAGGAGGAGGAGGAGGAGAAGGAGCAGGAGGAGGAGGAGGAGAAGGAGCAGGAGGAGGAGGAGGAGGACAGGGAGGAGGAGCAGGAGGAGGCCCCAAGATGACCCCAAGAGGACTCCAAGAGTTCTCAAAAAGGCACCCGGGGGGTGGCCCCAAGAACCCCCCCCCGGAGGTCCCAGGGTGCCTCCGAGAGACGGCACAGCGGCAGGGCAGACCAGCGCGGCAGACGAGCGAGGCGCGCCGGCCAACTGGAGGCCTCCTAGATGAGGTCGGAGTAGATGGGGTCGGAGGATCTCGCCGCATCGCCGATACATCGGCGATGCGTCGGCGATGTGGCGGCGATGCATCGGCCATGCACTGGCGACGTCGGCGTTGCGAAACTCGGGCACCACATCGAGCCGCACCGACGATGCATCGGCGATGCGGCGCGACACTCTGACCCCATCTCCTCGGACCCCATCTGGGAGGCGCGCCTTCCGGGCGGTGCACCCCGCGAAGCGAGGGAGGCATCCCGAATCTCCAGCGGAGGAGCCCCGCGCAGCGCCCGCGCTTTGGCGGGAGGGAGGGGGAGGGGCCGACGCGAGGAGGCGGCCGCCCCGCCCTGCCACGCGCAGGGAGGGGCAGCGACAGGGGGGGGCGAGCTGGCCCAGGAGGCGAAACGTCGAGCTGGCATCGGCGACGCATGGCCGGCCCATCGGCCACGGGCCCCCTGCTGGGCGGGGGTGGGCCATCGGCCACCCCTCGGCGACGGGGGGGCGGTCGGGGGTCGATGCGTCCCCCCCTGGGCTCATCCCGCCCCGCCTCAGGGGAGCGAAGAGTGGCACAAGCATAGAAGCATCGGAGGTCCGCGCGGATTCCTGGGATCCGCGCCGGACCCACCCCCCCCTTCCTGGCGCGCGCTCCGCGCGCCAGGGGCGGCGCCGGAGGCGCCGCCAGGGGTCTCCAGCGCCGATCCGAGACGTCTGCGCGGACCTCCGAGTTTTTACGTTCATGTCATTCCCTGACCTTCCAGGAAGGGCTAAAAAATAGCACCCGACTGAAACACCCATCCCAAAGCTACTCTACGTCCTAGTTTGGGAACGTCTCGTTCCGTTGCTTAGGCTCTTGGGCCTCCAGTGCTAAAACATATAGCTATCTCTCTCTCTCTCTCTGGAAGCTCAGGGCTCTTCGCTCTCCTATTTGAGCAGGGGCCGACTGTCCCGGCACTCCTATGGTCCTACCACGCAATGTTCTTAGAACCCACAATTGTCCTGAGAACAAAAACAGGGTTCTCAGAACAGAAACCCGATGCGTTCAAACACAAGCCAGACTCCGAGCCAGAAGCGTTCTAAGAGCATGTCGTGGAAACCGCAACAGGCTCTCAGAACATGGCTCGGTAGGCCCACAGGCGCGCCAGGACGCTTCGCCACTGCCCGACCTATACATCTACGACCCCGAGGCGCGGCGCGCGGCCCCCACGCTGGCCTCAAGGGGGCCTCCGGCAGGTTGGGCCCGCGGGGGCCAGCGGCGGAGCCGCCCGCGCCTCGCGCAGGGCCTTCGCGCAGGGCCTCGGTGCGGAGGGCGGGGGCGGCCCCCGGCCGCAGAGGGGAGGGCCCGCGGCGAGCTCGGCCCCGGCGCGCGCCGCGGCCGGCTCGGCCGGCGAATTCCTGGCAGGGGGCCAGTGGGCCGAGAGAGGAGGAGGAGGAGGAGGAGGAGGAGGAGGAGGAGGAGGAGGAGGAGGAGGAAGAGAGGAGGAGGAGGAGGAGGAGGAGGAGGAGGAGGAGGAGGAAGGAGGAGGAGGGGAAGGAGGAGGAGGAGGAGGAGGAGAGGAGGAGGGGGAGGAGGGAGGGGAGGAGGAGGAGGAGGAGAGGAGGAGGAGAAGGACGGGGAGGGGGGAGGAGGAGGAGAGGAGGAGGAGAGGAGGAGGAGGAGGAGGAGGAGAGGAGGAGGGGAGGAGGAGGAGGAGGAGAAGGAGGAGGAGGAGGAGGAGGAGGAGGAGGGGGAGGAGGAGGACTAGGAGGAGGAGGAGGAGGAGGAGGAGGAGGAGGAGGAGGAGGTGCTAGGTTGGGCATGGCCCCCCACAGGCGCGGCTGTGAGCGAAGGTTCAGACATTGCCATGAAAAGAGTCGCAGAAACGTCGCCCCCTGACTATTTTGTTGGACTATGCTTGGATCTTCCTCCAGTAGGAAAGAGTCGTAGAAACGTCGTCCCCTGACTATTTTGTTGGACTACTTTTGGGTCTTCCTCCAGTAGGGGCACATGCCCGATTTGACGCCAGGCGGGCCGGCCCACGCCCAGACCTCCTTCGGGTCATGATCGGCGACTCCGCGAAGGGTGCAGTTTGCACAGGGTGTGGTCTGCAGTCGGCACCCTGGGGGGCCACCACGGGGGTCGGGCGGGTACCTCGATAGAGAGCTCTCCGCCGCGCCCCGACGAGGCCCGACGAGGACAGGGTCGTGCCCCACAGGCCCCCGCGGCGCCGATCGCAGACCACGACCCGGAGTAGCCACACCCTCTGCAGTCGCCGACAGGAGCAGATCGCGGCGCGACCCTGAGATCCTGGCGTCTCACGCTTTTCAAAAGCCGAGCGTCTGTTTCCTGTGAACTTACTTCGGCCCCTCTGGGGCCCTCGCAGAGATCGATGCGGCTCGAAGCACGGCGCCGAGAGATAGGGTCCGCGGCTTCGGGTGTGATTTGTTTTACAATGTTCCGCTTTTTCGAGACTTCGGATCTCAGGGTCGGGTCGTGAAAAAGTCATGAGGTGAGAGCGCTTTTTTATTTACATTCTGGCAAGTGCGCTGGCATGGCGATTCCCCCCCCTCCGCCGCCCTTCCAAGCAGCGCCGGGCCGAAAAGGCGTGCAAGCGAGTCCCGACTCGCGTGCCCCAGATTCCCTTTCGGGCCTCGGTCAACTTGAAGGGGCCCTGGGACACACAAATAAATGGACACCAATAACAAGATTCCCCATATGTTCCCGTATTTTCTGGGTTTTTGTCTCCCTCCCCATTTCCAATATTTTGTCAGTGTCTGGGGAATCGACGATCAACTGTGTCTGTGTGTTTTTATCCCTCCTGACAACTCGCCCCCCCCCCCCCTCCGTGCAAGTAAGCTTGCCGGTGTCCGAGGCACAACGGGCTCCTGGCGCCCTGCGGTGGTCTCCTCGGCCGCTGGGGGTCCTCGCGCAGCGAGGGCCGCGAAGCCGTCGAAAAGCAGCTCGGGATGAGAAGCCCGTCCCCGGGGGAGGGGTCCCCGCCTCTGGGGTCCACGCTGAAGTCGGGCGCGTCCCCCTACAAGGGGATTTTCGACGAAAAATGAAAAAGACTCCAAAAATGCCCCAAAGATGCAAAACAAATACTCAAACAATAATCCCCAGACTATCTTTTTACTGTTTTTGAATACCCCCCCTGTAGAGGGACAGGCCCGACTTAAGTCCACGCCCTGAAAGAAAAATGCGACGTCGGGGGCCAGGGGACAGCACGGAGGCGCCCGGCGGCAGCCAGGCGAAGGAGGCCCGTCTCTACTCCGGGCAGCCTGGGCCGCGCGAGCGTGCACGGGCGCCGCGGCCGAGAGGAGCAGCGTCTCTCGGGTCGGCCGGGGCAGGGGGGAGAACCAGCAGGGGGGTGGGGGGAGGTCGACGAATCCGCTCATGCAGAGGGGGCGACTTGTGCAGCTCGCCCTCGCGACGCGCTGGGACGGAGTGTCCGGCGCGCGTGCCACGAGGCTCTGCACCGGCTCGGCGTCCCATTCGGGAGGAGGAGGAGGGGGAGGAGGAGGAGGAGGAGGAGGAGGAGGAGGAGGAGGAGGAGGAGGAGGAGGAGGAGGAGGAGGGGAGGGGACGGAGGAGGAGGGGAAGGAGGAGAAGGAGGGGGAGGAGGAGGGGGATTGTAGGAGGGGAGAGGGAGGAGGAGAGAGGAGGAGGGAGGAGGAGGAGGAGGAGGAGGAGGAGGAGGAGGAGGAGGAGGAGGAGGAGGAGGAGGAGGGGAGGGGGAGGAGGGGAGAGGAGGCGGAGGGGAGGAGGAGGAGGAGGAGGAGGAGGAGGAAGGCGGAGGAGGAGGAGGGGACGGAGGAGGGGGCAAGGAGGAGAAGGAGGGAGGGAGGAGGGGGATGTAGGAGGGGGCAGGGAGGAGGAGGAGGAGAGGAGGAGGAGGAGGAGGCGGAGGAGGAGCAGGAGGAGGAGGAGGAGGAGGAGGAGGAGGAGGAGGAGGAGGAGGAGGAGTGAGGGGAGGAGGAGGAGGAGGAGGAGGAGGAGGCGGAGGAGAGGAGGAGGGGGAGGAGGAGGAGGAGGGGGAGGAGGGGGAGGAGAAGGAGGAGGAGGGGCTTCCTTGCATGTCATCGTGTAGGTGCGTCTTCGCGTGTTTCTGCGCTGTCGCTGCGCCGTCGGGGCGCGGCCCCTCTTGCAAACGGCGCTTCACGGCGCCTCTCCTGGCGGCGCCCCTGCACCGAGGGAGGCGCCCGGCGGCGGGGCCGAGGCCAGCTGCACGCTCCCCCGCCCTTGCCTTGTCCGCCGCCCGCGCTCGAGACCTGCTGCACGCGGCTGGACTCGGCCCCGCCTCTCTGGGCCACCTCCTTCGAGGCACCTCTCGGCGCCTCTCGGCGCCGGGAGGCGACGGGACAACCAGCTGCGGCGCGGGCACTGCATGGGGAGCTAGTGGACAAGGAGCCCAGGGTCTGGAAACTGGTGGAACCGGGAGAAGACAGAAACGCCATCAACCTGAACCTTTGGCGCTCTGCGCGGATTTCTTGGGTCTGCGCCGGTTCCCCCTCGGAGGCGCCGCCGGGGGTCCCCAGGCGCGAATCCAACAAATCCACGCGGAGCGCCAAACGTTTATGTTTATTATGGCGCTGTTGTTCCTTCTTCGGGTAGCACCAGCTGAGGCTCGGCCACGGATGCCACCGCCGCCCAGGGCCTGAAGCCCTCTGGGCACACTCTCCGACGAAGGCCCCCGCCGCACTCGAGCCGATTCGCCGACCCCCCCCTCCGCGAACCCCTGAGAGATCCGACGCCGCGGGCAAGCTGCCGCATCGCAGGACATAGCGCCCAGAGCCTGAAGATCCTGTCTCGCTGCTGCATGCTCGAGCTGGATCGATCCGTGATGGTCCGTGATGGTCCCGATGATGGGCGACCGCGCGTCAAGTGTGAAAAAACCGCGGCGCCCAGAAATCCGACGTCCCGAGTTCCATTCGGGGTCCACGGCAGCCCCGACCCGTCCCCCAGAGCTCTTCCCCTGGGCGGCCCCGGGGCCCAGCGAGGGCCCCCACGGGCTGCCAACGGCGTGAGGCCGCCGCTTGATTCTGTTCAGGGCGGTGGATGCCTGGCTTTCGTCCGGCCCGACGACCCCCACGGCGAAAAACCGAATTCGGGTTTTGTTCAGGACGCTGGACCCTGACCTTCCAGGAGGGCTAACAAATAGCACCCGACTTAAAAACCTATCCCCCAGAGCCATTCTACGTCCTGGTCTTAGGCTGCTTCGCTCGGCTTCTTAGGGTTTTTGGGTCCCCAGTGCTAAAACATAGCCCCCTGGAAGGTCAGGGGATGCCTGGCTTTCGTCCGGCCCGATGCGAGGACCCCCACGGCGAAAAACCGAATTCGGGTTTCGTTCAGGACGCTGTTGGGCGTGGCTTAATGGGGGGGTCACACATGGGGGGGGGTCAGAAAAGGTCCCCCTTCGTGCCCCTGTCGGGCCCCTCCAGAGCCCCAGGGGGCTCGTTTGGGTACCGTTTGGGTACCTTTTCGGACCACACTCGCCGCCCCCCCACTTATGATTTGGGCGCCCGAGTTATCCGAGGTAACTCGGGTCCGGGGTAACTCGGGCTTGGACTCCCGAAAAAGGAACCCGAGTTAGCCCTGACCCGAGTTACCCCTGATGATTCGGGGCTCTGAATGATCCCCCATTACGCAGCGCCCAACGCTCGATGCCTGGCCTTCGTCCGGCCCGACTCTCCACGGCGGGGCGCGCGGGCCCCGGCGCCCGCGCCGCCGCGTGCGCGGGGGGTGCGGCGGCGGCTCTCCCCCCATGGGGAGGCCACGCGCCCGCCTCCCCCCCTCTCTCAGCTGATGCCGAGGTGGTTCATCAGCGCGAACACCTCCCCTCTCGAGGCTTGCGAGCCGATGCATCCAGAAGAAGTCGAAGAATACGAATACTAGTAATAAGAATAAGAAGAAGAATAATAATAATAAGAAGAAGAAGAAGAATGAGAAGACGGAGGAGGAGGAGGAGGAGGAGGAGGAGGAGGAGGAGGAGGAGAAGAAGAAGAAGAGAAACATAGATAACAATAAACGCTATACACATATACTTTCGGCGTTCCGCGCGGATTTCTTGGACCTGCGCTGGGCCCTCCTGGCGGCGCCTCCGGCGCCGCCCCTGGCGCGCTGAGGCGCGCCAGGGAGGGGGGCCCAGCGCAGATCCAAGGAGTCCGCGCGGAGCGCCAAAAGTTTATGTCTATAGCTTTCTTCAGGGCTGAACCTAATCGGTGTTCTTCGTTTTCGTTTTGTTTTCGTTTTCCCTCGTTTTGTCTTCACTCCGCCTTTGCAGCAAAACGACATCGAAACGAAAACGGCCCACGAAATCCCCAAAACACCGTTTAGGTCCAGCCCTGGCTTTTTATTTCAGGCGTTGGCAGAACTGGGTTTAGTGGGACCTGGTTTAGTGATCTGTACCGGGGACGCCCCCCCGTCCCATTCCACTAACCGGTATTGCCGTCACCCGGGAAAAGCACCAGCTATGGCAAACCTGGTTGGTTTAGTGATTCTGGCACATTCAAGGGCTCCAGGGCCCTACCACTGACCAGGGGATCCTACCCAGACCTTCCAGAGAGCTATTCCTTAGCACTGGAGGCCTAAAAACCTAACAAGCGGTGCGAAACAGCCTAAAACCAAGACGTAGAATAGCTTTGGGATAGGTCTTTAAGCCCTCCTGGAAGGTCAGGGTACCTGGGGTCCAGGCCAAACCCGATGATTCTCCTGCGAGCATCTGCACGCTCTCGCCGGCTCTCGGCGGCTGCCCAGCCCCGACGACTCCCCGTGGCTGCGCCTCGCCGGAGGCCTCCTGCGCCGGGGTGCCCAGCTCGTCCCCTGGCGGCCGCCGGAGAGGCCCGAGCGAAGGCCCTGCCGCCCAGAGGGCGGCGACGCCGTGGCTCCGCGGCGAGCATGCCGTGTCGGGGGCGCCGGCAGGAGGGCACACATGGAGAAGATACGGATGACTCCCACCGTCTCTCGTCGTAGAGGAGGAGGAGGAGGAGGAGGAGGAGGAGGAGGAGGAGGAGGAGGAGGAGGAGGAGGAGGGAGGAGGAGGAGGAGGAGGAGGAGGAGGAGGAGGAGGAGGAGGAGGAGAAGGAGGAGGAGGAGGAAGAGGGAGGAGGAGGGAGGAGGAGGAGGAGGAGGAGGAGGAGAACCGTGCTTTCGACAATTATCGGCCTCTGGGGGCCGAGTCCCAGGACCGCCAAGCTGGGGCTCGGGACGAGGAGCCGTTCCCGCAGGAGGTGTCCACACCTCTTGGGCTCCAGGGGCCCACGCGCTGAGAGAGAACTCATGACGTCGGGGGTCTGGGTCTCGTGCTGAACCAGAAGAGGACCCCTGGTCCTTTGGGAGGGGACCTGATTCAAAAGAAAACTAAAACGTGAGGGATAAAGGGGGTTATTTCGGCAGATGTACCGAGCCAAATTACCCAGATGGATTGATTATTCCTACTGCAGAGACGGGGACCTAAGTGAGGCCACGACTTCACTGTCATTACGGTTCGGGTTGTGTGTTTCACTCTCGGCGATCTCGGAGGCCCCGGCAGGCGGGCACCCGAGAAGGAAGGACGGGTGATGGGCGAGCGAGCGGAGAGGTGCCTGGGCACTGGGCGTCTCCTGGGGCTGCTCCGTGGCGCTGCCTGGTGGAAAGCGGTCCAAGGATACGCAGTGGGCACGTCTGTGGACCGGGTGGTCCACGAAAACCTGCTAGCAAGGGGAGGAGGGGGGGGAGGGGAAGGGAGGGAGGCGAAGAGGGGCAGAAGCCGAGAGGGTAGGAAGGGTCATCTAGAGCGAGGTTATCTTACGTTCTGGGTTATCTGTCCCTCCTTCCCCCTCTTTTTTGTTTCTCTCTCTCTCTCTCTTTCTTCCTCTCTCTCTCTCTTTCTCTCTCTGAGCCTCAGGGGACTTCCCAGCGACAGCGGTGGCGACGACGACGGACAACGACGACGCGCCATGCTCGATGCAGAACTTGGTTGCTGTGCTGACCTTCCAGCTTGGTACAGCCGAGGGCTGTGAGACACAGGTAGGGGTCCACATGTGAACCCCACCCTCCCCCCCAGAAATCGTGGGGGGTATGGGTAGGGTTCACATGTGGCCCCCTGACAGGTGCTGGCCACACCAGAGCCCCCAAGCAGTGTACGACGGGCTCTCCCGTCTTCCGCGCCGAGTTACTGCGCCACTGTCTTCTGGGGACGACGGTCTGGGCCGGGGGGCAGACTTCCCAGGGTGAAGCGGCACCTGGCTCGGCGGCCTCGCGGTGCGGAAGGCGTGTGTGAAGCGGCACCTGGCTTGGCGGCAGGAGGAGGAGGAGGAGGAGAAGGAGGAGGGGGAGGAGGAGGAGGAGGAGGAGGAGGAGGAGGAGTGAGGAGGAGGAGGAGGAGGAGGAGGAGGAGGAGGAGGAGGAGGAGGAGGAGGAGGAGGAGGAGGAGGAGGAGGAGGAGGAGGAGGAGGAGGAGGGCGGAGCAGGAGGAGGAGAGGAGGAGGAGGAGGAGGAGGAGGGGGCGTGTGAGGTCAAGAGTCCCAGAGACCGCCGAGGGATCGGCCGCAGACGAGGCGCCGCCCGCGGCCGCGGACAGGGGCGCCGCCCTCGCGATGGGGCCGGGTGCCGTGTGCTGCGGCCGTCGTCCGCATCGTCCCCCCGGCCCACACACACACACGCACACACACACACACACACACACACACACACACACACACACACACGCACACACACAC